CCCTCAGCCAAACGAAATTACGAATCTACCCCTACCTAGAGTACAGCCTCGTCAGAGTGAGGCTACAGGCAGCATGGAAACAGCAAGTCATTGCAGACCTACCCTCCCCCGGAGCGAGGACCTCCGAGATAAGGGCGTAGGCGTGCAGAGCGTCGAAGGGGCTCTCCCTTCTGCGCAGCCTCATATTTGAGGATCACAGACTTTGCTGTTTTCAGGAGCTCCTTGCGAGTGAACCAGCGATCCTCAGTATGGGGCTGGTAAAGAAACTTCACAAGGTACTCCTTATCCGGGCCTGTACCATATTCATCCACAACTTCTTCCACCTCATATCCCTTCCCAGGGATCGGGGGACCGAACTGTGGAGGCCTGTGTGGAAATGCATCAGCCGGTGTGAAAGGCAACAACTTGGATGCATGAAAGACAGGGTAGGTTTGAAGATGCAGTGGGACATCTACATGATAGGATGGCCCAAAGGGGTCAGCCCCCACTGTATCCAAAACCTGCCATGGACCCATATAACGCGGCAGCAGTTTAGGCGAAATGTCCTTCTCCCGCGATAGCTCAGAGCTGAGCACCCAGACCCAGTCACCAGCACGAACGGGGGATGGTCGACGATGTTTGTTAGCCTCCTGAATCATTGCCTTTTGGGCTTTGAGCAGGTTAACTCTGGCTCGTTCGATGTCCCTCTGGTACTGTCTGGTGAACTCGGCAGTCCCAAGAGTCAGTCTGGGGGTAGCCTTGTCGATGATGTCATCGAGAGGCTGTCGTGGCTCACATCCCCATTGCAACCGGTAAGGGGTGAACCCTGTGGAGGAGTGTACAGACGTGTGGTACACTAACTGTGCCCGTCCTAGATGGAGATCGCAATCCTGCTGATCAGGGCTGATCACAGGATGCAGCAACTGAAACAGAATCTGGTTCATCACTTCAGCCTGCCCATTGGCTTCAGGATGATGACTAGATGTCATGTTCAGCCTGAAATGAAGGTAGTCCTTGCAATAGGACTGCCATTCATTGCTGCAAAACCGCGGATCTCTATCGCTGATGATGGAGGTGGGTGGTCCATGATGAGTAACCCACCTATCAGCAAAAGCGGCCCGCACGGCCGGGACTCTGGCTTCCTCTGGCAGAGGAATAAACTCTGCATACTTCACAGGCCATAACCTATGATGAGAACCTGTCAACACATACCATAACCTGACGCATACCACGGGGAGTAGTCCTCCCCAGATCAGTGAAATCAATAGACACTGACTGTGCAGGTGCCTCAGGAATGGGAAGTGGCTGTAACAGGCCAAGGGGAGGTCGGCGAACAACCTTGTTCCTTTGGCACACCTCACAGGTTTCAACATAATGCAGCATGTCTTTCCTCATCTCTGGCCAGAAGAACCGCTGCGACAGGGCAGCCAACGACTTTAAGGCCCCAAAATGGCCGCGAGCATCATGACACTCAGACATTATGAGTGTTCTCAGTTGGCGCTCCCCAGGGATGCACAGACGGTCCTCTCCTCTGCTGCAAGTGTACAGCAGATCAGAAACCAGAATGTATCCTGGTTCAGAGGCAGGATCAGTCTACAGATTCCTAACAATTGGGCCAAAAGTCGGGTCCTGTGGCAATCGCTGGGCAATGGTCTGACGGGTACTCTCCCCAAAGGTATGAGTAGAGGAGATCATGCAGACAGCGTCAGGCCTACGAGAAAGGGCGTCTGCTACACGATTGTAGCAGCCCTTCTTGTGTTTCAGTTCAAAGTCAAAGAGATCAATGAACTGAATGTAGCGCGCGAGCTTGTCATTCAGTTCCCCCTGGGTCTTCATCCACTGCAAGGTGGAGTGATCAAAAAAGATCTGAAAATGCCGGCCCATGAGGAAATGCTTCCAATGCTTCAGCGCTGACACGAGAGCATACAGCTCTTTCTCGTACGTGGAATCCTGCAGCTKCTTGACYTTGATCTTCTTACTCATATACTCAACTGGCTGCAGACCATGCCCACCATCCTGCTGAAGTACCGCCCCAACCCCATACTGACTAGCATCAGTAGTTAGTACGAAAGGCAAGGTAGGGTCAGGTAGCTTCAGAAGAGGTGCACTTATCAAGGCCTCCTTGAGGCGTGTAAAAGCCTGCTGGCAGTCTGATGTCCAAAGAAAGTGGGTGTCTTTCTTTGTAAGATCGGTCAGGGGTGCAGCAATAGCAGAGAAGTTCTTGACGAACTTCCTGTAATATGACGCAAGTCCCAAGAATGACTGGACATCACAAACTGTAGTAGGCTGTGGCCAGTCCTGAATCGCTGCAATCTTAGGCGCTTTAGGAGTCAACCCTTCCCCAGAGATTACATGTCCCAGATAAGTCACAGAAGTCACTCCAAAGGAGGACTTTTCCCTCTTGATCTTATACTGGGCCTCGTGTAATGCCTGGAGAACAAGAGCCAGATGCTGCACATGCTCCTCGACAGATCGACTGAGTACCATATTATCATCCAGGTACACAACTACATACCTGTCCAGGTAAGGCCTGAGTATGCGATGCATCTCCGTCTGGAATGTGCCAGGGGCATTGCAAAGACCGAAGGGCATGACCAGGTACTCATAAGTGTCGTATCTGGTCTTGAAGGCAGTCTTGTGGACATCACCTTCAGCCATCTCAATCTGGTGGTAGCCAGATTTGAGGTCGATCTTGCTGAAGATTGTGCAGCCCTGCACCATGTCTAGCAGATCATCAATCCTAGGAAGGGGCTCTGTAGACTTCCTAGTGATTTTGTTGAGACCCCTGTAGTCCACGCACATTCTGAACTCTCCATTTCCCTTTGGAACAAAGAGAACTGGAGCCCCAAATTTAGATGTGCTAGGTTTGATCCAGCCCTTGCTGGTCAGGGTCTCAAGCTGTCTCCTGAGCTCATCGAGTTCAGCAGGTGACATCCTGTAGACACGGCCCTTGGGAGGGACCTCACCTGACAGGAGCTCAATCCTGTGTTGGGTCTGCCTATGGACACGTCCAATAGGCTCCTGCATCAAGTCTCGATACCGGTCCAAAACCTGCTGAATCGGTGAGGGGCAAGGAGCAATGTCCACACCAGTCTGTTTCACATATGCGACGAACAGACGTGTGTGGGCAGTCTGGCGAGAGAGTTGAAAGAACTCATGTGCCCTCATACAATAGCAACTACTGACTGGGTGGTACTCATCAGCCAGGACACAAGGCTGATAGTCTCCTCTACAGTCAGGAAGCTCTACCCTAGGAATATGCCAGTCGATCCTAGGGTTAGTGGCCTCAAGCCACTGCATGGAAAACACAAGATCAAAGGGTACATTGGGAAACACATAGAACTTCAAGCGATGTCTGACCTTCTCCTGCTTGTCAAAGATAACCGGAAGGTTCCTGACAGCAGATGTAATCCGGACTGTGGAGGAGTCCCCAATTCGAACTTCCAGTGGTTGCTGCAACTTCACCAATCTCCCATCCAGATGCAGCTTGCTGACAGCTTTGGGAGAGATGAAGTTCTGGGTGGCCCCACACTCTAGCAGGCCCTTGATCTTGGCTCCCAGGATAGAGGGTCGCAGCAAGATGAGGTCTGGCTTATGCTTTTTCTTTTCCTGCAAGGACAAGAAAAGATCAACAAAAGTCTAACTATCATCTTCCTGCCACGTCTCATCCAAGTCAGGGTCCATGTAAGTAAAGGATCCTAACGCAGCAACTCCAACAACAGGGTCAGTGAGGGTGGATGCAGAATCAGATCCATCTGAATCTGATTCAGCATAAGTGGAGGGAGCTGCCAACTCCACTTCCCTCTTCTGGTCTAGTTTTTTGAACTAGAACCAGGTCTGCGAGGCATATGGGGACAGTCCTTGAGGAAGTGATCCCCCTCGCAGCGAAAACAAACCTCACGGTCCTTCCTCCTCTGCCATTGCCCTTCCTGGATCCTGAGCGCTCTCCAGGGAAGGGTGGAAGGATCCACGACGTTGACTGGCCAATGGACGTCTCGTGAAAGATTAGGTCTCTGGGCCTGAGGGGAAGTGGCACGTCCCTTCCCTTTCCCCTTCTGGATGGCTGAACCCTTGCTGCTGTCTTTGCTGAACTTTCCCTTGAACATAGCAGCAAGGTTCTCAGCCAGGGCAAGAACGGCTGGCTCAACTACTGATCCTGATGCAGTCTCAGATGGAGGACTGCCACGCCGAGATGCATCAGAATCAGATCCTGCATCAGCAGCCAATAGAGCGCCCTCTTCCTTCCTTCAGAAGGAGTCTGAACCTTGAGCCGAGACTCTAGGTCCAGTGCCGCTTTGCAAAAAGACCTCCAGTCCTCGTGGCCCTGAGCATACAAAGCAATCGAGTAGTCTGGAGGTGCTGCACGCAGGAAATGGGTGAGCTGGTCAGACTCACTCATCTCCAGACCGGGTGTCGATGTCAAGCTCTCAAACAGGTTGTAGAGCTTGGACAAAGAGCCCTCAAATCTGTGGGACCCTAGCAGCATAATTTTATCAGCTACTTTGCGGGCCTGCTCCCTGTCAGCAAACCGGTCCTGCAGCGCCTTCAGCAACCCTGCCACCCCCAGCTGTTGTGCCCATCTATCCATAGCAACATTCTCTTTAGTTGCAGAGGAGGTGCACCATTTCAGTGCAGACCTCTCCAACCGGCCAAGAATGGTCCCCACCTTGGTGGCTTTTGGACATGTGAAGCTGCCCAGGTATGCTTGCATAGCGGTGACCCAATCTGACACATCCACCTTGGGGTCTTCCCCAGAATACATAGGAGGTGGCGTCAGCTTGGGCCCTCGCTGCACTGATGTGCCAGAAGCACCAGATGGGGTGGATAAATGGGAACCAGCAGGTGAGGCTGGACGACTGTGAGGTGGTGAACCCGCTGGCCGGGTGATCAGCTGGCCAGCTGGCTGTACAGGCTGAGGGGCTAGGAGAGGCAGCTTGAGGTGCTGCAGAACGCTCTTCATCCCTGTTGCCAGAGAGGTCAGGTCCTTTGCCATCTGGTCCACCTTGTGTTCGATGGCAGAGACTTGACTCTCCACAGCAGAGATCCGGTGGTCCCAGTTGGAAAAATAAGATCAGCTGAGAGTGTCATTCAAGATGACCATCTCAACAATGCTCTTATTGTACCCACTGGTAGTCCCACTATCAACAAACTTCTGTACCTCCACCAGCAACTGTCTTCTCCTTTCCTCCTGTCTCCCTGCCTCCTCAACCTCTGCTTTCTCCTTCCTCAGCTTGGCGATTTATTCATCCACTTTTCGCCTAGCTTCCTCTGCAATCAGCAGTGCTTGCTCTAGAGGAGAAAGAGGAGACTGGGGTGGGTCAGGAGGGGCAGAAGTCCCCTGCCTCCTTTGTCTCTTCAGACATCTTGTCTTCAGCGTCAGGCATGATAAACCACTCACACAGTCAAATAAATATCAACAGGCAGATACAAGGTAAGCAGAGATCAAGATTACACACACACACAGATGTAATCACTGCCACCTGATGAGAAGAGACGTGGTGTGATAGGCAGAAGAGCACTCAGCCTCTGTAGGTTGTTGAGGGCTGTCCTGGGTCAGTTTAGGTCAAGACCAGACAAAACCAGATTTGCGATTTTTCATTCACAGCCCATAACCCTCATCTGAGTCAATACCCCCAGAATCGCTGTCAAAAGGATAGACAGGATGCAACCTTGGACTGTAAGTAGTCAGGGTAGAATAGCACTGAGAGTTAGTAGCAATCCCCCAGAACCCAGTAGTCAACCAAGATGCAGCGGGTGACTGAACAAGCTATTTTTAGACTCCTACTACTGACACTGGCACTGTATGACCCTGTATGCCCCACTATAGGTGAGGCGAAGTACAAATATCACTGTACCTGACTCAAAACATCAAATCCAGTATAGCGCTTTCAGACACTGACTAAATACTGAATTGCGATTTCAGGGTGACTGACAGATTGAAATTCTGACGGACAGAACCTAAGTTATGACAAACCCTAGCTGCCCCACGCACTGGCTATGGCAGCGCAATATTCAGAATCTCATTATCACTGACATTCAGACCCTAAACTACTCAATTCACAGTGGGTACTGAATTGCAATACTATAATATAGTCTGAGATGCAATTTGAGACAGAAAGGAGGTCAAACAGAGTCAGTAGAAGTCGAAGTAGGTAGGTAGGAGAAATGGATACGGCTGTCAGGCAGTGCGATTTTCTAGTTTCACTGACAATAGACATGCATCTACTATTTCCCCAGTCTAATTACACTCATCAGACTCGCTATAGGGACTTGAGTAAGGAACACACTCACTTCAGGTCAAAACACTGCATGAAGAAGCTCAACTGGCTATGGCTGCCATCTCGCCAGTTTCTTCCATCGATTGTTCCTGGTGCTCCCACGTTCAAAATCTCCTGAAACTTGGTGATACTGAAGCTCTTGATATGGCGAACAATCCCCACTAGCCAAATTCTCCGAACCTGGTCCAGTATTTGCAACTCGACATACCCCCAGGTATCTCGCCACTAGCAGAGCCACCACCTGGGCTAAAAATAGCCCCTCAGTGCCTCCCACGCCACTGAGTACTGAATCGCCACCAATCCCTGTGTCATACCGCTCGCCACACACTCTTCACCAACACCCTACTGAGCGCAACATTGAAGATGAAGTTTCTCCACGAAACCCTACGTCAGAAGCTCTCAGGTAGTGATGGCGGCCTCAGTCCATCATCTCGCCACTGTCTGGGTCCGATCCGCTCCGATACCAACTGTTATGAACATGATTGTCTGCCGAAATTTTAT